TATAGAACAATCTGACCTCTGCCTAAACAAGCCTACGTGATCGCAGACCTTCTCACGTGATCACATAGAAGGAAACCAGTGACAAAAAATCAGCATTCTTCAGCTGGAATGCAAAGTCCAAAATTGATCCGTTAGCCGTTCGAAACTCACCCGAGGCCCCCGGGACCTCAACCAAATACACCAATAAATCCTAAAACATCATACGAACTTAGTCGAAACCTCAAATTACATCAAATAACATCAAAAACACAAATTTCGCCCGGATTCAAACCTAATGAACTTTGAAATTTCCAAATCCTACAAACAACGTCGAAACATATCAAATCACGTCTGATTGACCTCAAATTTTGCACACAAGCCATAAATGACATAACATGCCTATTCATATTTCAAGAATTGGATTCTGACCCCGATATCAAAAAGTCAAACCCCCGGTCAAACTTCCCAAAAATTTGACTTTTCCATTTCAAGCCTAATTCCACTACGGACCTCCAAATAATTTTTCGGACACGTTCCTAAGTCCAAAATCACCATATGGAGCTATTGGAATCATCAAAATTCAAATCTGAGGTCGTTTACACATAAGTCCACATCCGGTTAATTTTTCTAACTTAAATGTTTTAATTATGAGACTAAGTGTCTCATTTCACTCCAAAATCCTTTCGGACCCGAACCAACTAGCCCGGTAAGTCATAAAACAACTGTAAAGTATAACGTGAGCAGTAAATGGGGAATGGGGTTATAATACTCAAAACAACAGGCCGGGTCATTACATTCTCCCCCTCTTAAACAAACGTTCGTCCTCAAACGGGTTTAGAATTATACCCGGAGTCTTAAATAGGTGTGGATATTTTCTCTGTATCTCCTGATCAATCTCCCAAGTAGCTTCTCCAACTGGCTGGCCTCTCCACTGTACCTTCACTGATGCTATGTTCTTTGACCTCAGCTTTCGAACCTGCCGATCTAAAATAGCCACCGGCTCCACATCATAAGTCAAATTACCGTCCAACTGCACTTTACTGAAATCCAAAATATGAGACGGATCCCCGACATACTTTCGAAGCATGAATACATGGAATACTGGATGAACACCCGATAGTCTAGGTGGCAAAGAAAGTTCATAAGCCACCTCTTCAATTTTCTTAAGTATCTCAAAAGGTCCAATATACTCTGGGCTCAACTTACCCTTCTTTCCGAACCTCAACACACCCTTCATGGGTGAAATCTTGAGCAGAACCTTTTTACCAACCATGCATGCAACATCACGGACCTTCCGATCAGCATAACTCTTCTGTCTAGACTGCGCCGTGCGAAGCTGCTCCTGAATCAATTTAACCTTCTCCAAAGCATCCTGAACCAAATCAGTACCCAATAGTCTAGTCTCACCCGGCTCAAACCAACCCACTGGAGACCGACACCGTTTCCCATATAAAGCCTTATACAGAGCCATCTGAATGCTCGATTGGTAGTTGTTATTGTAAGAAAACTCTGTCAGTGGCAGAAATTAATCCCAAGAACCCCTAAAATCTATAACACAAACGCGTAGCATATCTTCCAATATCTGAATGGTGCACTCGGACTGTCCGTCCGTCTGAGGGTGAAATATTGTACTCAGCTGAACCTGTGTACCTAATTCTCGCTGTACTACCCTCCAAAACTGTGATGTGAACTGTGTGCCCCAATCTGAAATGATGGACACTGGCACACCATGTAAGCGAACAATCTCGCGGATATAAATCTCAGCCAACCGCTCCGAAGAATAATTAGTACCAACTGGAATAAAATGTGCAGATTTGGTCAACCGATCCACAATCACCCAAACAACATTAAACTTTCTCAAAGTCCATGGGAGCCAACTACGAAGTCCATGGTAATACGATCCCACTTCTACTCCGGAATTTCAAGTCTTTGAAGGAATCCTCCCGGTCTCTGATGCTCGTACTTTACCTATTGACAATTTAAACACCGAGCTACAAACCCAACTATATCTTTCTTCATTTGCCTCTACCAATAATGCAGCCTCAAATCCTGATACATCTTTGCGGCACCTGGATGAATGGAGTACCGCGAACTATGAGCCTCCTGGAGAATCAACTCACGCAAACCATCTACATTGGGCACACATAGCCTGCCCTGCATTCATAATACACCGTCATCTTCAATAGTGACTTCCTTGGCATCACCGTGCTGAACAGTGTCCTTAAGGATAAGCAGATGAGGATCATCATACTGGTACTCTCTGATGCGATCATATAAAGATGACCGAGAAACCACGCAAGCCAAAACTCGATTCGGCTCGAAAACATCCAATCTAACAAACTGGTTGGCCAAGACCTAAACATCCAAGGCTAAAGGCATCTCTGCTACACAATGAATTTAATCTTCATAGTCAAAGATGCATACACTAACCCAACTAGTTCATAAGCATTCTCACTTCCTAATTCAATCCAAGTGAGTTGATTAATTGAACTACATTCATCCGCCTATCTTACATAACATTGTCAATTTGCCATATTAAGTCTACAAAAAAAAATCCTAACAAAAGTATTATCAAGTCTTCATAACATATATTATTAATTTTTTCTCTATGAACACCAAATAGAAACCAATCGCGATAAGATAACAGTTGATGGTGAAGAACAATGTCACCAAGAATTAAAGCATTGAACTTAAACTGGAATTCAAACTAATAAAGGTTCAATTCATGAACTTTTTTGGAAGTTCTCCGGGAATAATTCTTGGTATTTGAACTGCTAAATATTCCAAATTTAGTAATTATCTTTGGAATTTTATCGTGTTTCAACTGAGATATTTTTGTTCAAAAATTTTTATTTTAAAAAATAACTATTTCTCATCACATTTCAAATTGTGATAAAATATTAACAAGC